TTTTTGAATGGAATAAAGTCTGTTGCTATCAATAAAAATGTTGATTTTGTTTGTGATGCTTGTCATTTTGGTAAACATAAGAGGTCTAATTTCCCTGTTAGTACTTCTAGAGCTGAGAAAAGCTTTGATTTGTTGCACATGGATGTGTGGGGTCCTTTTAATGTGGCATCTTTGAAAGGAGAGCATTATTTTCTCACCATAGTTGATGATTTTAGTAGATTCACCTGGCTGCATTTGATGAAAAATAAGTCAGAAGTTAAAGCTAAATTCCAAGGTTTTTATAACTATGTGTCTACTCAGTTTGCAACCAAAATCAAGATGGTGAGAACAGATAATGGGACTGAGTTTTTTATGGGAACTTTTCTAGATGAAAAAGGAGTTGTTCATCAGAAATCATGTTCCTATACCCCACAACAGAATGGGATAGCAGAGAGGAAACATCAACATATCTTAAACATAGCTAGAACCTTGAAATTTCATGCAGGGTTGCCTATTGAATTCTGGGGCCACTGTGTGCTACATGCTACTTTTCTCATTAATAGACTACCTTCTGAGGTCCTTAGTGGGAGGACTCCTTTTGAGATGTTGACTGGAAAATGTGTGGATTATGGGCAGATGAGATCATTTGGTTGCTTATGTTTTGGGGCAACCATTTCACAAGGAAGAAATAAGATGCAGACTAGGGCAAGGAAGTGTATATTTTTGGGCTATCCGGCAAATGTAAAGGGTTATATCTTGTTTGACATTATTGATAAAGTTGCTTTCATATCAAGGGATGTTAATTTCTTTGAAAGAACCTATCCTTTCAAAAAACATGCTTTAGGAACTGACTTGGAAAGTGGTGACAGTCATGTTCTCAACCCCACATTACCCTTAATCCCCACAAATTCAGAAATCATTTTTGAATACAATGAGAACAGAAATCCAGAGGTTGATGTTGATCAGGTTATTGCCAAACAGACTGTACATTCCACTGAGCAGATTGATGAGCCAGTTCTTGAATCTGTTGAGTTGAGTAATGCATGCCAGAATGAGTTGATTGTTGACCATCATTCTCCACAGAATCCAGAAAGCCATATGCATCTCAGAAGATCCACCAGACAAAGACAAGCATCCACTAAGTTGCAGGATTATTATTGTCATAACATGGTGGGAAACAGCTCAGGTATGAGGACCTCCCCCTATCCCATAAGTAAGTTCATTTCTTATGACACATTACCATCTGATTATAAAGCCTGCATTGCCTCTATTACCACCACACATGAACCACAGTCTTATAGTGAAGCTGTGCAGTTTGAACCTTGGAAGCTAGCTATGAATTCTGAAATAGAGGCATTGGTTAACAATAATACCTGGATTTTGGTAGATCTACCTCAAGGCAAAACACCAATTGGTTGTAGATGGGTTTATAAAGTAAAACACAAAGCTGATGGGTCAATTGAGAGGTACAAGGCAAGATTAGTTGCAAAAGGTTACACTCAACAGTTGGGAGTGGACTATTTTGAGACCTTTTCTCCTGTAGCTAGGATGACAACCATCAAAACCTTCCTAGCCATAGCAGTAGCCAAAGATTGGGATGTTCAGCAGCTTGACATCAACAATGCTTTTTTACATGGGGATCTAGATGAGGAAGTCTATATGGTTCTCCCTCTAGGATTTAGAAGTGATAAGCCTAATCAAGTCTGCAAGTTGTTGAGGTCTTTATATGGTTTAAGACAGGCTAGTAGACAATGGAATGCTAAACTCACAAAGGCATTGCAAAACTATGGTTTCCAACAATCCACTGCTGATCCATCACTGTTTACCAAGTCTACAACTGATTCTTACCTTGCTTTGCTTGTATATGTAGATGATATCCTTGTGGCAGGTACAAACTCTAACCAGATCCAGGAATTGAAGCATTTGTTGAACACATCTTTTAAGATAAAGGATCTGGGAAAACTGAATTATTTCCTGGGGATTGAAGCTTTGAGAACTCCAGATGGCCTCACTCTGTGCCAAAGAAAGTATGCCTTAGAAATTCTTGAGGAAAGTGGTTTTTTGGATGCCAAACCTGCTAAGACTCCATGCATCACAGGACAGAAGCTTACCAGTCTTGAAGGGAAGTTGCTTGACAATCCTGAGAGTTACAGGAAGTTGATTGGAAAGCTCTTGTATTTAACTAATACAAGACCTGATATCACCTTTGCTGTCCAACAGTTAAGCCAGTTTGTAGATGCACCAAGAGATCTTCATTTGGTTGCAGCTCACAGGGTATTGAGATACATTAAGGGATCACCAGGCAAGGGATTGTTCTATGCTTCCAAGTCCCAAATCAAACTCCAAGGTTTTTCTGATTCAGATTGGGCTACTTGTGCTGATACTAGGAAGTCCATCACTGGGTTCTGCATTTATCTTGGGAATTCCCTCATCTCCTGGAAAGCCAAGAAACAAGCTAGTATATCAAGATCTTCTTCCGAAGCTGAATATAGAGCCCTTGCCTCCACAGTGTGTGAAATTCAGTGGCTCATCTATTTACTAGCAGATTTGAGAGCACCTTCAACTAGTCCTGTTACTGTTTTTTGTGACAATAGTTCTGCTATTGCTATAGGGGAGAACCATGTGTTTCATGAGCGTACGAAACACATCGAAATCGATTGTCATGTGGTAAAACAAAAGGTTAATGAAGGGGTGATTAAGTTGATGAATATCCCTTCAAATCAGCAGGTGGCAGATGGTTTTACTAAGGCCTTACCCAAGCCTTTGTTTGATATTTTCCATGATAAGCTTGGCCTTCATGACATTCACGCTCCAGCTTACGGGGGGTGATGAAATAACTAAGGGCATACTTGTCTTTTTCCTAATACTCAGTTAGTTATGATAGTTATCCTTGTAATAAAAGGCAGTGTTGACTGCTTAACTGTTTTTCAATTCAATTCAAGCTTCATTTTTTCTTTCCCTGTTCTGTAAACATGAGCACTACTGTACTGAAATTCCAGATTCATCTTTTATGCTTCCAGTGTGTGTTCTAGTATTGTTCTTGCATATTTCATCACTAGCCAATGGTGAGCAGAGTTGTGGGTGTTTCCTTGCATCTTTGAGAAACTTATATGCATCTTCAACACGTGTCTGATACTCCACCTTGTGAACTCGACTCTTATTCATACTGATCATCATCGTTTCTGTTTTCATCTTATCATCATTGTCCTCAAGAAAGAGAGTGAATCCACCCACATTCAGCATTGAAATGAGACCTGAGTACTGGCTTTCGAGCCCCAAAACCAAGATATTGTAGGGGGTTCTTTCGGATATAAGATCTGAGAGAAACCTCATTTCCTTCTTGCTGAAAGTATTGAGATGGTGATCATCGCCACTTACTAGAATGCAAGAGAAACAGGGTAGCAGATGAGAACTCCGGTGGCAGCGTAAGAGACAAACATTGCCTGGGACGTGGCGGTTGAAGAATCAGAATTGGAAGGGTTTGTCGGCGTCATGGTCATAAAATGACGTAAATACCCTCCTCTCAAACAGCCATCTAACAGGAATGTAGACGGAGGACCAAAATTGTCCTCGTCATAATAAGAGTGTCCACAAATTGTCTAATTTTTTTTATTGAGGACTAAAATTGTCTTCGCCACCATAAGTCTAGGACCAAAAATGTCTTTTACTCTAGTGTTATTCTAGCAATGGGAACCCTCTTTGATCCAAGAATGAAATATAAACATTTGAAGTGTTGTTACAAAAAGTTGGATGAAAACACCTACAAACAAAAGTTGGATGTTGTGAAAATCAAGTTGTATATGGTCTTTAAAGCATATAAAGCCACATCTACGACCACGACAACTAGTTCAACTGTATGTAACTACTACTACTAGTCCATATAAAAATGTTGTAGCAAACGGAACAAGTGATGACTGTGATGTAAGTATTTTATCTTTGTATGTTTTTTTGAGTTACTTTCTTAATTAATTCTTATTCTAATATTTGTGAAATTCGTAAAAAAAAAAAAAAAAATCGTATTGATGTATATGATGAATTCCTTGAATATTGTGTTCTAGATGATGTGCAAAATGGTAAATCTGCTTTGGATGTGTATTTGGATGAGCCATATATGGATATGAAGTCATATGCTAGCTAGTTTGGATATCTTGAACTATTGGAAGGATAATAAGCATCACTTTGGAGAGTTAGCTTCAATGTCATGTGTTAAATATTCCTATTACTATAATGACATCAAAATCAACTTTTAGTAAATGAGGTCGTGTGTTAAACAAATATAGAAGTTGTTTGTTTCCTTCAAATGTTCATGCCTTAATTTGTACTAGCAATTGGTTAAACGGTTTTGTTTTAGAATTGATATGTGATTATGAACTTTGAATATTAATATTTTTAGTGTTTTTCATTGTTTTGAATTTAAATCCTTTAAAGTTGAACTTGAACATAATTTTAATATATTTATTGATTTATTAATTATTATTAGTCTAAAGTTGGCCGACAATGTTAGTGTGTTTATTCCTATCCATTTTAAAGTTATTTTCACATGAATTCTAAAAAAAAAGAAAAAAACAAAAAAAAACAAACAGACAAACAAACAAACAATAACCAATAGTTATGCTGTGCATCCGTATGCACCATGCATGGTGCATACGGATGCAAAAACGACGTCATTTTATTAAAAAACGCCCATCCCACTTAAAAAAAAAAATTCAGTTTCGATTCTCCTCAACAGCATTATGTTGTTCATTCATTCTGGAATTTTAGTTCATAGATTCTGGAATTTTAGTTTATAGATTTTGGAATCATCGATTCTGGAATTTTAGTTCATAGATTCTGAAATTTTAGTTCATAGATTCTGGAATTTTAGTTCATCAATTCTGGAAATGCACAATATAATGTTGTTGTTGGGAATCAAAACTGAATTTTTTTTATAATTCGAGGCGCATTTTTATAGAGTCTATAGGTTGGCCCACAGAGCCCATCAACCCGCATGGAGCGGGCTAGGGTTGCATGAACCCTAGCCGATGGACATATCCATGAACACTAGATGTGATCGAATTATTCTTTTCCGGTACGGTGGTGCAGCTAGAGTTGAAAACTCTGATATGTTCTTGCGGCAAAAAAAGTCAAAAGGTAAGTTTTAGGTAAAGATTGAAGGTTTAGTATAGAAAAGGTGCAGCTTAATTTGGATTGTGAGTAGCGGCAAAATGGCTCTAATTAAATCAGCATGACGCTCCTCGGATGAATCCAAGTTATTCGACAATTTGTGTGACGAATTGGTTGTCCAGATACTTGCAAGACTACCCAAAACAGCAGCCGTTGCATTCCAAGTGGTTTGCAAACGCTGGTTTTCTCTCATCTCTTCTCCTTACTTTATTGCCAGCTTCCGTCACCATCATAACCATACAGATAATGTTGAGTCAAGCCTTGTTTTCCGATGCCTTTCTCACTACCAAATCATCTCCAACTCTTCTTTATTACGAAAGGTGTACGGAGATGAGGGTGTATTCTGTTTAAGTTATCTCCCATGTTCCCCTACACAGTTTCGATTGGAAGCCTCCTTTGCTGACTTAATCTTATGCTCTCGCCTTACTTTCTTTACCAACAAAATCAATTATTATGTCTCCAATCCGCTCACCAGACAATGGATTGCTCTCCCTCCAGCTGCCTTTGAGGGCTTTGCGCAGTATGTCTCAATTGGGTTTTTATGTGTGGAGGATACTGCTCATCATAACAAGTTCATGGTGGTTAGGCTTTGTACGGGTCATTTTAATACTGCTTGTAAACCTTGTTCCCAGTTTAAAGCCCAAGTCTTTTCTTCAGAGAACTGGCTATGGAGGACTTTGGTTGTTTCATCCCCTCTAACCTTGAAGCACTATAGAGGGAGAACTCTTCTTGTTGCCTATAGAGGGATGTTGCATTGGCTAAACCGTGATTGTATCGTGGTGTATGATCCACTTAACACCCCGGAAAGGTTCTCTCGTGTCATTGGTCTTCCAAATCAAATATTTCCCCTCCCTATTTACAGAAATAATTGCTTTGGAGTAAGCCAAGGTTGTCTTCGTGTAGCGGAATTTTCAGATGAATGGACAATAGATCCCATACTGGATGTATGGGAACTGGAGGACTATGACTCTGGGCGGTGGATTTTGGTTCACAAGGTTCACCTTAGAAATCTGATCCATAATGGGGTACTGGAAAGTTTGGAGAGTGAATTGCGTTGTTTCAATGTACTAAGTCTCCATCCTGAAAATGAGGATGTTATTTATTTACAGTTATTTAATGGAGTAGTCCTTCTCAACATGAAAAGCAGAATAATAGAGCGATTCTACCCAATAAATGAGAGGGTGATGTGTTGTTGGAGGGATGCCTTTCACCTTGTTGACCAGCCGTGGCCAACGCCAGTATCGTTATTGCGTCACTAAACATATGGCAGGCTATGTATTTCTTATTTTTCTTGCTTCTTCCTTTCCAATTCAATAGTAGAAACAAACTTCTTTGTTGGTAATGACTGTTTATTTCTTATCATCTCCCGGCATGACTGGTTATATAATATGTAACACTTGAAACAAATTAAACTTCCTTGGTGGTAATGTTTTTATGATAGGTTCTTTAGAGTAATCACATCAGTCATTTTTGCTCAAATTTTGAGAAATAAAAAATCAATATGATTTTTAGACTAGTGTGAGAAGTCGTTTTTTTTTTTTTTTTTTTTTTTTTTTTTTCTCTTCACATTTCTCTCCCCTTCTCCCTCTCTTTCTTACATGACATGACAAAACTCAAATAAAACTCACGAACTAATGTGGTTGTTCTTAGACATAACTTTGGTTTTGACAGGCTACTGTTGGTATTGTATACGTGGGATATGTATGTTTAAACAACGTACATGTATGTATGTGGAATGGTAAATAGCAGACATTGAAACAATTAGGAGGTTAGGTTCGGAACACATGCAGTTTACAACCTGAAATTTTCTGATAAGTTAGAGCTGCGAGTTATTTAGTATACGTTTTATCATATTAAGTTATCCAATGCATTCATTTTGTTTTAGTTGTGACATCTTTATTGGTATCAAAGCCTGGACACCTCTGCACATTAACACATACAATAAACTTTAGATTTACTTAATATCATATTTCTAAGTAAAGGGGGTCACATGAATGGGGTGTGTCGAATAAGTATAGTCTAACTATACTCTACAAATAATGAATCTCATGTGCATCAGAAACGAATTCAAATATACATATATAAATAATCAACATTTAATCAGTTTGTACATGTTCAAATAATTAATGAATTCTTTGCACACAAAACAATGAGCTTTTTGTATATAAATAATAAATTCTCAAGTTGTTTTTATACTATTTTGCATGTGTTCAAATAATGATCTTTACATATAAAAATAATGTATCCTATCCATACAAAAATAATGTATCCTATAAATTTGTAACAATTGTGCAAGCTATGGTCCACGAAATAAGTATTGGTTCCGGCAAATTATATTGTGGATCATGATCTACATTGTAATGTAGATCATGAATAATTAAATGTTTAATTTTAATTCATTGAATATTAATTTTTAATTAATTTTTAATGTACTAAAAATTTATTTTAGATAGTATATCTAATAATGAACCTGATGTAGCAAAATACGGTTGTATTATTAAGTGTTAAACGTAAGATACATGATTGAGTCAGTTCCGATGATGGTTCCTTCACCTGATTACTTGTAGGTTTAACTTACCTGGTCAACGTGACAGTGGGTCAGATGTTCCCGAGCTTCGTATTTGTCACGTAGGTAAACATCCATAGCAATTAATGCGGTATTTATAGCTGCTTGGGAAGCAGCTTTCGGCCCACCGGCATGTCCGCCACATGGCATTCTTGCAGTCAGTGATGATCTGGCCCAAGCGATGAAGGCCGCGTGGCCAAAGATTCCTGACGGTACACGGGAAGGACAAGACATCACAAGATGGTCGATCCGACCTGAACAGGTCGGGAAAGAGGAGATGAAGAGCTCCTTTCAAGAGGGTCCTTTACGGGAACTCTGCATGCCTAAGTGGTCGGGAAGACCGTCCAACTATTCTGGAGTTGGTCGGTGTGGGTTTATCTGGGTTCATACGCCATGGACCGACCAACGTATATACGGAGCACAGTAACCGGAGAATAGTCCCTATCAGAACATTCAATATGTATTAAAAATGAATCTTATGTTACTAAATGTACCTTGAACGATGGGTCATGATATAATGACTGAGGTAGTCCCAGCCTAAGCCAAGACTAATACAGTCCTGAATGGACCTATGGTCGCCTCTTATTCAAGTTCTAAGCAATTCACCATTATATTTAGTACAGGAGGTAGACGACGGCAGCATTTGCGGGATCGGAGATGAGGCCAGCGTAGTACTAGAGGTCGACGGCGACGACGTGTGCGGGATCGGAGGTGAGGCGGGATCGTCCAACATATGGCGGTGGAAGACGAGCTCTGTAACTTGTGGGCCAATTGTTTTACTTATTTTTATTATTTTAATGACATGTAATCAATGCCATGTAGTTATAATCGGGCTACGCCATCAAAAACAGGTTGTAACCTGCAAAAAAAAAAAAAAAAAGAAAAAAAAAAAAACTAATTGAACAAATTTAGAAGGTAAGTGTGCCTGATTACAACATATTTTAGATGGTGGAGGGAATTGAACACTTCGAAGTAGTAGATGAGCTTATTTGACACTTTTGTCTTATATTTAAGATTTCTTTCTTTCTTAATTGATTGAATTTTCCAGTAGCAACAAAATAAAAATGTCCAATATATTATGTCTACCTATTATTTTATTTTTGAATAATGTTATTTCTCACCCTTAAATTGACGTTGATGTAGGCTGGAATGGATTGGGAACAAACTGTAAACTTTTTATCACATTGTTTGAATTTTTTTTTTTAAAAAGCCAATTCTAATTGAATAAAAAGGACTCATGAAATTATTAAAGAACTACACGATAATTTTCAAGGTAAAAATCATAAAGAAATAACTCAACAAATAAACGCAATTGCTCAAGAAATAAAAAAGAAATTATGAAATAGAAATTAAAAAGTTAGAAACGTTAAGATATAGAGCTTTAACATATTTACTTACTTAATTTGCTATTTTCAGAAATTTTCAAAAATCGTATATACACTGATGGAATTTATAGAATTTCCGACCACCTGAAAGTGATCTTAAATCAAGTCGAAAATAAAAAGTGGTCGAAAATAACAATAAAGGTTTTTCCGGATACCAAAAGTGGTCGGAACAAGGCTTTCGACTTGATTTAAGATCACTTTAAGGTAGTTGGAAATTCCATAATTTCCAGCAGTGATATACTCACTCCTACAAATTGAGCCTACCACACCCAAATTGGTATTAGAGCCTTGAAGATGTAAGTGAATATGCATATTTATAGCAAAAAGTTAAAATTACAAAAATTAATGTTGGCAAAATATAAAATAAAATTAAGAGTGTATGAGGAATTATTAGAACTTACAAAAGAAAAACTAAAAAGAATGGTTATTAATAAAATTAGAATTAAATGATACTAAAAATGCAATTAATACTATAAAAGCATACAGAGGAAGACTACATGAAAAATATAAGTATTGTCTTTGTTAAAAAATGAAAGTTTTAGAATATATTGCAGCAAAACCATTAAAATATAATAGATATATTAATCAACATATTATAATTTGTAGAATATGTTTAGAAATGTAAGTGAAATAATATTGTATAGAATATATTGGCAATAGATTTTTTAGATTAATCAAGTTTTTAGTTAGTATTATTGGTTCACATTAATTAATTGTGCCTGAGATTTTTAATGAGGTCCTACCAAAAGTACGTATAAGTGCAATAAGGGGAAGCATTGTTTATCGGAAGACTTTGTATGGGTCATTATAATTCTGCTTGTAGACCTTGTTCCCAGTTTAAAGCACAAGTCTTTTCTTCAGAGAAGTGGCTATGGAGGACTTTGGTTGTTTCATCCCCTCTAACCTTGAAGCACTATAGAGGGAAAACTCTTCTTGTTGCCTATAGAGGGATGTTGCAATATTGGCTAACCGGTGACAATAGTAGAAACAAACTTTTTTGTTGTTATTGGCTGTTTATTTCTTATCATCTTATGGCATGGTATGGCTGGTTGTTTAATATGTAACACTTGAAACAAACTTCAATTCCTTGTTGGTAATGTTTTTATGATAGGTTACTTTCCTCAGACATGACTTTGGTTCTGGCAGGGCTGCTGTTGGGTATAGTATACGTGGGATACATTTAAACATACATGTATTGGTATAAATAAATGATAAGGAACACGTCATTAATGCAACTGATATGTTACAATAGACAATTTTTATTCCTGTTATAATTTTAACATTATTGACTTTCACTATATTTAGTAGATTAAAAATAACACCATTGCATTTCGTTTCTCATATGGGTACAGTGCAAGAGAGGCGTTGGGTGTGGATTCGTAAGATGGTATATATGATCCTCCTATGTGTTCAAGGTCAAAGGCAATCGTCCCTGAATTGTTAAGGCGTATAAATCGAAATGAGGAAGAAATCGAAAGATTGAAATCAAGGTTAAGAGCTACTGCAGAAAGAGATTGTTTGTATAGAGATTAAAAAATGAGGTGTTCTTAATTATTGCCTGGTGATGATATCCATTATTCTATTAGCAGTGTTAGTGATAGTGTTGTTTAATTCCAATGTTAAAAGTGTAGGTGGTGGAGAATTGGTTATAAGGCTTCCCTTGGCATTTTAGAGTACGTAGAAGTGTAATTGTATTGTAAATACGCTACTTTATGTTGAATGAAATGCTTGACACTTTTATTGGTTTATATAGTTCTGTATGGCTGTATTTAGATTTGGAGATTGGAGTTAAAAAAAAAAAGGATAGCATAAGTGAAGGATCAATAGCAAAAGCAAAATCATTCATTTTTGAAAACCAACAGCAATAAACGATATATTAATCTGGAAAAAAGTAACGTACTACACAACTGGTTGGAAATGGATACAGATGATAGCACTCGAATATGAAATAGACTAGAGCAACCTTGTTACCTCAAGACGGTAAATCCTCTATTGAACACACACATGTCTCGGTACAATACTGAACTAGGCCACCAATACTCATAGTCCCATATCGAACAAAAGATGCATACTGCCAAAAACTAGTCCACCATATGTACGAGAGAACCATATCTTCTCAAGTCAAAGGACTATTGCGTACTTGTAACATACAACTTACCGATGACACGTAAGTAAACAACATGCAGAACATTATAGTCAGTCAATGTAATGACATGTTAGCTAAAAATCATCTACATATCCACTCTCTATATCTCATACGAAATGACATGAGACTCACCATAAGAAGGACAATGTGCTAGTCTTATTG